TGGACTGTTGGATTGTTGGACTGTTGGACTATTGGACTGTTTGGACTGTTGGACTGTTTGGACTGTTGGACTATTGGACTATTAAATTGGATTATTGAAATAATTCTTAATTATGAAATATGAATATGATATGTGTAACATGCTAAAGGTTGAGTCTGTGAATGTATGACATGCATCATATGCACATATTACTCCAGGTGTGCCGCTGAGGCCGCATACCCACGACTAACAAGGTGTACCTTTGGGTCACCCACGATATGCTAACGAGGTGTATGAACACCAATGATAGGTGTACCTTAGGGTCACCGACAATTGTATAGGTGTGCCTTCGGGTCACCAATGATGATATGTGAACTTCCGTATGGCGCCACATGCATACATTAGTGAGTCAAGTCAAGAAAATCATTATACATAAGCATATATGTGAGATTGATTATATATGTGAATTATATTGCGTGTGTGTGTGCTATTTAACTTTTATTTCTATATCTGCAACTGAGTGAGAAGTTTCTCACTCCCTTGTCATTTTTGTGTATATTTAAATTATGATGCAGATAATTAGCATGAGGCTGAGGATGTTGGTGGTGAAGCTTAGGCTTCTGTTTGGGTTTCGCTCTGATAGGATGTGACATCGGGATTAGCTAGACTTATTGTTAAATTATTATTATTTTTCTTTTGTAATTTTTATGTTATTTATGTTGAAAGTGTGTATTTTTGTCATATTATAATTTTACTAAAAGATTATAAGTTAATTCCTAACTAGGAGGCCCTGCCACCTTTACTGGGATTAATCTATAATCTTTATTTTATTATTTCTTGACAATTTGATACTTACAGTTGAAAATTATGAATGTGCATCTTTTACCCAATGATACTTGAGATAATTATTTTATATTAGACTAAGAAAGAATTTATATATAGATGGTTTATATCTATTGTAATTATGTTGGGGTAGAGGGTGTCACACAATTCACGTGCATCTATCAAAACTAATCAAATAACACTTAACTAATAATAATCGAACAAAAGTTTTTGAAAATAATCCCACATTTTCACTACCAACAACCAAAATCGACCAAATAAAAACATAGGTAACAAATGAACAATAAAGTTTTAGGGTTAAAAAGCATGCTTGGGAGCGAGCAAGAATGAAGGTGGTGGAGGGCAAGAAAAGTGTTTATTAGACGTTGAAAATTATAGTGGGGGGTTTGCGAAAAGGAAAAATGGAGACAATGAGAGCTATAAGTCTATAACTTAAAAAATGGGAGTCTAAGGTGTAATAAATTAAAGACCATTCTACATCAATTATCATTTAATCAATTTGGAATATTACTTTCAACACCAACTAAAGGTTGAACTAATGTAGAAAGTAATACTCTACATCAATTGACCGACAACAGTAAAGTTAACAATAATTTCAAAAATGTCATCATACATTTTTTTTTTTTGGGACATCTAGTGTTTAAGTCCAATATTAATGTAAAATTATGTTATTAAGTGTTATTTTTTCACCGTGTGTGAACCATAATTTGTAAATTTAACCATCTCAATTTTTTTAAAGAAAATATACATCCCAAATTTGGTGTATGATAGGAAGAAATAAATAAATAAATAAAAGTAAAAAAAAAAATATTGTTACAAATGACATAATAAAAAATGAAGAGAAAAATAAAATAAAAAAGTGACACTAGAAAATAAAATTGCAACTCATGTTATAATGATACAATGTTTATTACTAAAAATTACTTTTACGTATACAATAAATATAATGTGTTGATATATTGTTAAAAAAAATGTTAGTATAGACCATAGTTATACATAATATATGTTATTGACTTTTGCTCAAAATCAATGCTAAAATTATGTGTATCTATACATGTAACATTATTTTAAGTTTAATTATTGGCTTTTTAGAGATAATTGTGTGTGAGGCACTTTAGGTGTGTTGTGGAGCTTTATGAATGAGGTCTTTGGCTTGATGTCTAATTGATCTTGATGAGAGGAGACATATAAGGTTTTTATTAAGAACTAAGTCTCATAAGTTTATATTCTTCAAAATCTAGAGAGAGAGAAATCTAGCTAGTGATATAAACTCTGGTTACTAATTTCTTTCTTTTCTCTTCTTCCTCATAGATTCCTCTAGTGCATGAGGATTGTTGTTGGGTGTTGGATTCAAAGCATTTGAAGGCTGAGAATCAAAGTGGTGTGTAGCGTTGAGTGTGGAGCTCAGAAGCTTGAAGTCATTCATCTTTTCTTCTCCTATCTCATTTTAGCCTGAAGTTGTAGTAAGAAAAACTAGGATTGTTTTTGGATGATTTTGGTTGAGTTGTATGTTGATTGTTGTAATTTTGAATGGAATGGGATTAAATGTTGTGTTGGTTGGGTTTTGGTGAAAGAGTGGAAAAATGATTAATTGATTATTTTGGTGATTACATATGTGTTTTAGTCTTGGAATTAGGTTGTTTGAAGTAGCTATATACTTGTTTATATGTTACATGTTGGAGATTCTTGTGTTTCATGTGGATTGAGGAAATTTTTGAAGTCTACATTTGTAAATTTCTAATATCGCACCAAGCACACCTTTGTGACATTGGGTGTAGTTTCAACCAAAGGTCTCTGTCTCATCCACACTAGGTGCAGGATCGGTGACATTGGACGTGAGGAGAAAGACTTGTTTCGAGTTGAGATGGCATTGGGCGTGGTTTGAATGGAGTCGGGTGTGAGAGCAATGGAAACTCTTTGACTTAGTGAAGTTGGACCCCATTTAGGTGGTGCTAAGCATGATCACACAGAAGCTCTCTACCTAAACAATGTCAGGTGCCAATAAGGTGACACCGAGTGTGAGTTAAGCAGAGGTTATTTGCTTGACATGAGGTTGAGCGTGGATTTTGCCACATTAGGCATGAGGTCCTAGGGGTTTCCTACCTCAATTAGATCGGGCATGGGTGAGGTAGAAAGTTCCCTATCTTAGTGGTGTTGGGTGCAAGGTAAGTTGTGTCGGGTGTAGATTGTGTTGATTATACATGTTATTTGAGGGGTCAATTGGTGAACATGAATAAAGTATTTGAGTTTAAGATATTGTTCCAGTACCTTTGCATTGAGTGCATGATATTGCACCTTGCAGTTGAGTAAAAAACAAGCTTAATGAGTTGAATGTTAAGATTTCTAATGGAAGGAGAAAAAACTAAAAATTGTATTCGGCTTTTGAAGTAATTGGCAAAAGCAACAGGCCTAGGTCCATCCTCACGAATTACTGGGATTCCAAATACACACAACAATTAGAGACGAGAAATGCTACGGCTTCCAAAATGGAGTGGCTGTATAATCCTCCGAAGCGTTAAACATTGACATATGTTAAATTAAATTAATATTTTGTTCAAAATCAATTCACGATGTCAATTTTTAATGGTTTGAAGGATTATTCTGCATAAGCATGTCAGAGGATACAGCATTTTTCGTTAGACTTATCATCTGCTGTATCTAACTGACAATGCATGAATGCATCTCTAGGCTATCCAATTGACTTATCTAATGGAGAATATGACACTAATACTAATGGAAGAGTAAATAACAAATATACAAAGTTTTCACTGGATGAACCATCACTTTGTCACTATATCTTCCGGTGATATCAACACAAAATCTAATTTAGTAAGTGATCAAGTGAACAGTTTTAAGACATTGCCTTCAATACTGGCATGAGAATAACTTGACAAGGAAAAGGCCCAAAACTTCTCAACAAGACAAGAAAGCACTGAACAACAAAATTTTAGCAGTCCATTAAAGAAATGAATATCTTGAAAAGCTCAAGACAATCCTCCATAAACCTAACAAGTCACAGCTTGATAATAGGTTTGTCAATAATACGGTCCATCAAGTATCCCTATGGTGTCATTGAAAACATGCTAGTCAAAGTTGACAAATTCACATTTCTAGCTGATTTTGTGGTTATGGATATGGAAGAAGACTGTGCTATTCCTATTATCTTGGGGAGGCCATTTATGAAGACTGCACGAGCAATCATTGATGTTGGGGATGGTGAATTAAAATTGAGGGTCCATGATGAGGTGATCACTTTTAATGTATTTGAAGCTATGACCCATCCGAATGATAAAGGTGCTTGTTTCCGAATGGATGTGCTGGATGAGGTAGCGTGTGAGACTACAAAGAAGTTGAAAAAATCTTTCACATGAAGTACCATGGATGGTCCTCCATCAGACCCTTTGGCATCATTATCATCATCACTCTCCCAGTTGGGAGTTTGTTCAACGTGTTGTGGAACATGTTGAGGAATAGCAGTTGTATGATGCATAAACATAGAAAGATGATGAGATAAGTACAAAGTGGAATTCGAGACAGTTTCTTAGTTAAGAGTCAATTACCAGGGGGAGGATTGGTGTTATCGACCCAACACAATGGCCACCATCGTCTTCGAGGAAAATCGTACAGGGAACATCTCGCATAGGTAACTCGATTCTTTATAGGGATCTCTTTACGCTCAAAGTAAAGTGGGTCGAGAGTCTTCACCCAAGATGGGCGAGATAAATGTTTAACTAAACCAAAAAGAGCATTTGGAAGAGGGGGTATATGTTTAGGACAAAATTTTTCAAAATCAGTTTTTCCTCGAGGATTGATCACCTTTTTCGAGCGGATGTTCCTTTGTACCATTTTCGATAAAGAGACAGATGCATCGAAGATGGTTCGACCAACGTTGTCGGGCCGATAACAAACCCTAAAAAATTGCTCGAATTGATAAATAATAGTTCGGTTCTTGAAAGTACCTAATTGTTTAGGGCCCTGCAAAGAAACTGGAGAATTAATCAACTTCTTCAAAAACTCATCGAAGTCGATAATTTTGTCAACATAGTACTCATACCACCAACGAAGAAAGCATTTAGAAACTAAGAAAGAAGGATAAAAAGAGCAAGGTGCGAGGCGGAGTTGTTTGTCAGGACGCAAGATGAAATCTAACACTTCTTCATAATTCCCCCTTTCAACACAAATATCAGCATCTATACTCTCTTTGCGTCGAACAGGAAGAGGTTTCATTTGACAAAGTCCAAATTGTCGAGCAAAAAGTTGAGGTTGGTAGGGGTAAATTCTAACATCCTTTTGTCGCATGCCTGACATGATCACATCCCAGGATAAAAACCCAAACCACATCTCGACAGAATCCGGTGTCATATTCCAAACTTGATTATTTCGACAAAGCCAAGGAGGACCTATTAAAGAGGTGCGTATGAAAGGAGCCAAGTCTTTGCTAAACTGGCTGAAAGTGAGGATTGCATCAATATATTTCGCGAAGTTGTCAATTAAACGCTTTCGAGGAGTAAGCGTGATTAGACGGGCTCCTTCAAGTTCCCATGTTGGAGTGAAAGACGAGGTCAGTGAAAGTTTTCTTTCCAAAATTGCATTCAACCATAATTGTAGTAGCCATAAGGGTCCAGAGAGGTTTTGAGGGCCAGACTCTCGGAAAAGGCTTTCCGAGGCTTCATCGAGACATGTATATAGAGAAGCTAATAAAAGTTTACTTAAACAAATCTTCTTTTTTAAGTGTAAGGCTTGTGCTAAAACGTAATAATATTTCGGAACCTGAAGAGAGGGAGTACAAAAAACACAAGCAGATAACCAATACATCAAAAAAGCGATATGTTCAGACTCTGAAACAGGGGTACCAGGTTGTCCTACATGAGCATTAATGAAAGCTATATAAGTCTTCTTATCCCAGGTAATCGAAACCTCCTTGATCAAAATTTCTTCTTCGAAAGCATCAGGATGAAATCTATCTCCTATAGGGGTTAGGCCGATTATTGCTGCAATATCCAACAGTGTAGGACAAACGAAACCACAAGGGAACTCGAAGGCTCGAGTCTCTCTATTCCAAAAGAAAATTGCAGAAAGGGGCATTTGAGGGTCGAAGAGATGCAGATCAAATTTTGCAAGTTGGATAAACTCGAATATTCCAGTTTCTACCCAAGAAGAGCTCATTGCTTTTTCTACACGAAGTAACCATTGTAGATGCCTATCTTTAACAGGGGAAAAGCCCTAAAAATCTTAGTAGTATCGCTAAACAAAGACAGATCTATTTCTGAAGAATGGATGAAGGGTAAGGTAAACGAGTCTTCAGGTAACAAGGTATTCCCAAATTTTTTCTTATTTTGACCCATGAATGGACCTAAAAAAGCATGAGTACTACCATCTGCAAGAGTGAAAGGAAGAAGTACCTGGGACTAAAAGATTTTAAGGCTTGCCTCCTCCATGCCTGGAATAGGGACGAAGGTATCGTCCCCGTCTTTGACCTTGCACACTTGAGCATTAGCCATTAATAAAGGACCCATATGAGTAGAGGTTGCAGTGGCCGTGGTCGTCACAGTAGCCATGATAGGAGACGTTGCAGTGGCCAAGACAAGAGATGATGCAGAAGCAGTAGTAGGAGAAACCGTAGATGCTACGGCGGTGAAAGTAGATGCAGCAGATGAAGCCATTGATAGGAATTGGTGAATGAAGATAGGTGCAAGATCGCTGGAAAAGGAAGCCAAGAAGTAGAGCAAGAAGAGAGCAAAGGGGGTACGAAGGCTTGGGCGCGAAGGAAGAAAGTGGTGAAAGTGGATTTCACCTTAGGGTAAAAAGAAGGTTTTAACGTAGTAATGGGCCTGAGGTGAAACAGGCTTGGCAAATTAATACAAAATTTAAACTGAATATTCGTAATAGCCGCCAAAACGTTTCTTATCACAAGACAAATTTATGGAGGGATGTGAGCACGCGCCATCAGAGCCATCAATTTCACATCAAAAATGGTCATCACATTAAATAGGGGATCAGAAGTAGGTTTTCATCGAAATAATGTAAGCCACCAGTCAAGGGGAACAATTCGACAAAGCATCGAAAATAATTTTTGTTAGGAATTCAGTTTTGTTCACCCAGTATGTGCACCGAAACTGAATTCCTAGGGGGGCATTTGTTACGGCTACTCGAAGGTCAGGGAAATCGAAAAAGGTCCTTATGAAGCTGATCGAAAGAAAGAGGAAGATCAACACCTACTTGAGGTGTATTAGGATTTTTCTTTTCATGCTGGAGGTATAGTCGAAAAAATGGTTGAATCGAGCAAAGAATACTCGAAAAGGCGAGAAGAAGTTATTGGAAGTTTATGACGGTTAAAATGCGTCAGGGTAGTTACTAAGGGTCGAATCGAGAAAGTGGAAATGTGGTATGAATGGTTGAGAAGTTACGATTTAAAGTCGTGTAATAAGCATAGTGGATAGTGGGTATCCTATAATGACTGATACACACCAAAATAACCGCTCTTAATTGGCTCTATAAATTAAAGAGTTATGCATCTTCACAAGGGTCGGAAAACTCATACTAGAACTGAACTCTCAAGCACTCTCCGCCTGCGCATATGGCTTTCGTGCAAGGAATTATTTTTGGGTATAATTACTTCTCGGCCATCTTTCTTTTCTCTTTATAGGAGTTGAATTAGAGTAGTTTCTTGTTCTTCTGTTAATCACATAGTGAAATTGTATACTTTGATCAATATGCTTTAACGTGTAATGTAATTTGATCACTATGCGAAGTGAACCATGATTTGTATTGCTAATATACGTGTTGTTCATTCTGTGCATTTGAGTATTTACATACATGAACATTATTGCTTGATAATAATTAATGAATATTTAGAGACAAACAATCACTAAAACTTTCTACTCTGTCTCTCTTCTTGCATTACATTTTAGAAATTCATAAAAACATCAAATACCTAAATTGAAACATTGTTTGTGCTAGTTCGAATAAAAAGAATCCGTAAAAGTAATTCCACCGTAAACAATAAGAGAAGTATTTTTTTATTTATTATCTTTTTATTTGATGTGATGCTTAATTTTAAAAGACAATTATAAAGAATAATATTGAGATATATAAATGTTATTTTTTACTGATTAGTTATTGTGAGGGGTGCGATCGATGGGGTGGTCGTTCGAGCGAGGCCTTGATGATGATTTTGTGGGGGCCAAGAGTGGATGGAATTCTTGAAGTAGACAACTTTGTTATTAAGACATTTTCAAGTGGGAGTAACAATTGATCCATGGATTGCAAGTTTATTGTTAATATGTATGTGAGCCGTTAGCCAACGGTGGGAGTTAGCTAGGAAACATTGCCATGGCCGGGTCTGAAAAAAAAATAGGGTTAATTAATATTTTTCCTTTTCTAAAATTTTAGATTCCTGGTTTTAACTAGTTTTCATAAGAAAAAAAATGCCTTTTTAAGGTCTCTTCTTTACTTTTATTTATTTATTGTTTATATCTTAGAAAGATTAAAAATGGGAGAAAGGCAAAAATTTAATCTCACAATAATTATTCTGTTCTAGAAAGTGATCATCTATTACTAGAGCATTTTTGGGTCTAACCTACCTCTCATTTGTCTCTTGTGCCAACCTCACTACGTAAACTCAACCATACATGTGATTCTTCTATTGTGTTCTTCTGTTTAATCCAATGATTGTAACTCTTATAATATGGTGTTTGAGTTGGATATGAATTGATCTCTGTTGATGAATATGTGAAAGTGTATATAATGAGTATGAAATATGAGAAATTAATGTGTGAAATGGGAGATTATGAAACCATGTGAATATAATGCATAAAGTCTATTTATCATGCATCATATGCACAAAAATATTTTGTAAGGATTCGATATGGATTACACCACTAGGGAAGGTCCCTTATGTAAAAGCTTGGAAACCAAATTTGGGAATAACTTGGTTTGGAAGTCCTAGTCCTACCCTCGTGAGCATGTGATGTATCTTGTGTAGCTTAACTATCCCGACCAAACACTAGTAGTATGCCTATAAATAAACCAACCTTCCTTTAAATTTTTTTTTAATTAAAACAAGAAATAAAGTGCATATGCCTAGAAAATAACTCGTATAATAAATATTATAATTTCATAAAATCCATCATAATTTTATAAAGCACATTTAATGAATTTAAAATCACATATTATTAATATTATTTTTCAAAAAGCCTTCCTATTTAATAAAATCCTTTTTAATTGTTTTTCAAAAATATAGTTTTATTTATTTAATTTATTTTTTGAAAACCAAGGTGTTATAAAAAGTGAATGTCATTAGCACTTTGGTTCTTGAAAGTATAAAATCTAAAAATAAAAAAAATCCCTAAAAGCGTAAAATGTTACTAACTTTAGTCCATAGTTCAAAAAATATGTGACTTAAATGATAATATTAATGCATATTTAAGGATTAAAGTGAAAATAAGTAATTACTATTAAAGACTTAAATGAAATAATTAGAATTTTTAAGGATTACTTATTCATAATTTCCTTACTCATAATTTCCTTACTTTCAAAGGTTAGAGTGTTAGGGACATACATTTTTAGAAACTCAAATGATGTTTTATTCGTCAATATATTTTAAATCGTTAAATTTTTAACTAATTTAAAATATTATATAATAAATTAGTTGTAACAAAACTGATTTAAAAAGTGATAGAATAATTTTAAAAATATCACCACATCATTTATTAAATCAGTTATAATCGAGAATTATAGTATAACTGATTTAATGACGATGATATAATAGGCTAACTTTGCACTAGTGAGAGGCCTTATGAAACTTTGATATGCAATGAGTGGGACGTGGCTTTTTGATCAAAGTAGGGCTGCATGGAAAGTTATTTACGTAAATTTATATATGGATTTACGATGATATATGTAGATGTGATAAGTTGTATTATGCTAGTCAGCATTTATATGCTATGCGTGAAAATATGTTATAGTTGCATGATTGGAGTGTAAATAGGCATTGGTATGCTAGTTTTGGATGAGGTATATAGCATTGGTATGCTAATTATGATTGGTGTGATTTGATCTGTATATATATTAACCTGGGGTAATGTATATAAATGATGTATGTCGAGGTGTTGATGTTAAAAATGTTTTAGGCATTAAAGCATGTTGATTGACTGAGGGTATTGTTTGAAAGTTGGCTCGTAGGCTTCAAGGCCAAACTTGGGCTGGTCGTACGTCAACCACTCCCTATGTTTAATACCCTCATGCCCCCAGGTGTTGGGGGAACTGTTGTGTGCAAAGGATTGTGTACAGTTTTATTCAAACAGGTACAATATTTAAACAAACAAACAAATATTAAAGCCAAACAAATAAAGCAAACAAAGTAAAGGGGAAAATATTTAAATTATTATTTTTATTTTATTAACTTCATGAATTAAATGGGTCTGACCCACTTTAAACGTCCCCAGCAGAGTCACCATCTATCGTAACCCAAAAATTTCTGATCTTGCGACCTATGGTTTAGACATCCATTTGAAAATCTCATCAATTAAGGAATGCCCGGACGCCATACTAATCCTTAATCAATGGTTTTGAAAATAGGTTCTTAGGAGTCGCCACCAATGTTTTACTCAAAACATTGGAAAAATAAAAGGTTTTTTAAAATCCAATAAAGGCCTTGATAACCATAATTGGGTTTGGGGGTCGGTTACGTGTAAGGAAGGTATTAAGCACCCCTACAACGCCCTACCCTATGATGAGTTAACATTATAAGCAATAATAATATAAATATTAAATCCCCTTTTATTGATGACTATTTACATGCTTAAAATTTAAATTATACGACTAACCGTAAAATATCTACATGATTGCATTTGTTATAAATAAAAGATGGAGATAAAGATGAGAAATAAAATATGGAAGAAGATTGATTAAAATACCTCTTGAACGAGCTTCTATTGAATCTTCAAATATGGAGAAGGTGTTTTATGGCAACCTTTCACACTACAATATGCTTCACAAATCTCAAGAAATACAATAGGAGGGAGAGAGAGAGAGAAATTTCTCAGATTTAAGAGAACTGATTTCAACCTGCAGGTCATGAATTGTAACAGGCTTAGCTGCAGATTTTTCAAGGCGTTTGAGGGTTTGAGTAAGATCAAACTTATTATTGACAAACCTATTATCAAGCTGTGACTTGTTAGGTTTATGGAGGATTGTCTTGAGCTTTTCAAGATATTCATTTCTTTAATGGACTGCTAAAATTTTGTTGTTCAGTGCTTTCTTGTCTTGTTGAGAAGTTTTGGGCCTTTTCCTTGTCAAGTTATTCTCATGCCAGTATTGAAGGCAATGTCTTAAAACTGTTCACTTGATCACTTACTAAATTAGATTTTGTGTTGATATCACCGGAAGATATAGTGACAAAGTGATGGTTCATCCAGTGAAAACTTTGTATATTTGTTATTTACTCTTCCATTAGTATTAGTGTCATATTCTCCATTAGATAAGTCAATTGGATAGCCTAGAGATGCATTCATGCATTGTCAGTTAGATACAGCAGATGATAAGTCTAACGAAAAATGCTGTATCCTCTGACATGCTTATGCAGAATAATCCTTTAAACCATTAAAAATTGACATCGTGAATTGATTTTGAACAAAATATTAATTTAATTTAACATATGTCAATGTTTAACGCTTCGAAGGATTATACAGCCACTCCATTTTGGAAGCCGTAGCATTTCTC